CGTGGAGGCGCGCCTCCCCACGCGCCTCGCGGAGTGTCGCGCCGCGCCGGCGCGGCCCCGCTCGGCGGCGACCACGGCGACGGCGACGGCGACGACGACGACGACGACGGGCAAGTGTCAGAGGACGCGTAATGGGGGAGCGATACATCGGGAGGCAGCGAGGGCTGTCGAACAAGAAGCCCGGCCCAGAAGGGAGCCTCTGGGGCCCGAGAAGGACACTTTTCTCCCCCCCCCACTTATCGCCCGCAATAATTTGGCGCCCAGCGAAGAACAACACAACATCAACGTCTTCGCCGCCGGGGACGCCTGTCCCAAGGCGGCTGGGAACTCGATACCTCAACGGCTATCAACTTTCCAGCCGCCCTGTGGATAGGCGCCCCCGACTGCAGGAGGGTCTACAGTGCCGTTTTTTATACATGGTCCGCGTGCGGATCATGTATTTAAAATGCAGGGATTCAGTATTAAAAACAACGATGAGTTCATGCATACATTTATTCACACATTAGTCAAGTATTACAAATCCTATATTTTTAAGAATCCCATGTATGAAAAACAGCCCTGTGCTGTCTGCCGTTCTCCGTCCGCTATAACCCACGCGCGCGGGCAGCGGCGCGCCGTGCCGGCGGGGGCCCGCTCGACGGGGCGGGAGTCCGCAGGGGCTTGTCGGCGATGAGGGCGGTGAGGTCTTCGGGTCGCGTTGAGGTTCGTCGAGGTCAAACAGACCCCTAACCCTAAGTCGGGCCTGTCCCCCTACAGAGGGATTTTCGGCGAAAAAAAAACATACCCTACAAACACTCCAAAAGGGTCAGAAAAATACCCCCAAAAAATAGTCCCCAGACTATTGTTGGACTATTGTTTTTATTATTTTTGGTGTATTTTTTATTCTTAGTCGAAAATCTCCCTGTAGGGGGACAGGCCCGATTTAACCCTGACCCTAATAGCACCGTGAAGACGCGGCCTCACTGAGGTCCCTGTCTTTGCATTCTGGATGGTAGATTTGGGCGGTTTGTCTCGCACATCTGCAGTGAAGAGCCCCTAGCCCTGATGCTTTTGGCTGCCTAACTCAGGTCCCCTCCCAAAGGATTAGGAGACCTTTTTTGGTTCGTCGGGGGTGGTCTGGTAGGTAGTCTCAGAAGCCAGGCAACGGCTGGCAAACCCGTGGGTGCTACTGCTAAAACGGAGCTCCAAGAAAGTGTGTCTGTCTTCCGGGAAGCAGCTCGTTGACTATTTGGCGCTCTGAGCATTACTCGGGGAAGTGCTCTTTCCTTCGGGAAGACCATGTTGGCAGCCACGGATTTGCCAGCCTTCGCCCAGCTTCTTATAGTCAGTTTCCAGGTTCCGTGCCCGTTCGTCAGAGCGGGGGAACCGCGGGGGTTTGGTTCGATACATCGGCAGAACAGAGCCCCTAGCCCTGATGTTCTTGGCTACCTAACTTAGGTCCCCTCCCAAAGGATTAGGAGACCTCTTTTGATTCGTCAGGGGTGGTCTGGTAGGTAGTCAGCTTCCAGGTTCCCTGCCCGCGCGTCAGAGGGGGGGGGGCCAGCGGAGCTGCCGCCCCCTCCTGGGAAGGCCGCGGCGCCCGAGGCATCCTCCAGAGCCGCCGGATCTCCCAGCTTCTCGATCTGTCCCCGCCCGATGTTGTCCTCTTCCCAGCTTCGCCTTGCGGTGGGTGCTCGGTGGCGTAGCCGCGCCTCGTCTGGGCCCCCCTCGGGCGCGAAGGGCAGTCGTCGGGCTCCGGCTCCGCGCGTCGCGGCCTTGGCCCGAGAGCTCTCCTCCTTCGAGGCCTCCTCCTCCTCTTCCTCCTCTTTCTCTTCGTCCCTGTCCTCGTCCTCGTCGTCCTCCTCCTCCTCCTCCTCCTCCTCCTCCTTCTCCTCCTCCTCCTCTTTCTCCCTCTTCCTTTCTCCTTTAAATATTGTTCCTCATGCTCCTTCTGTCCGGAGCTCAAGAGCTAAGTCGGGCGCGTCCCTCTACAGGACGAATATGCAAAAATAGGAAAAAATAGTCTGGGGGCGATGTTTTTCCGATTTTTTGTATAGAATATTCTCTGACTATGTTTAATTGCTCGTCCAAAATCCGCCTGAAGGGACAAGCCCGACCCAACTCAAGAGACGGGGGTCAATGCAAACGGGGGTCAGTCAGAGCGCCGGAACTTGCAGGATCTTGCGGGGCACTGACCCGGACTTGGGCGCAGGATCTCGCAGGATTCTGCAGGGCCTTGCAGGAGGATTCTGCAGCGCCCGATGGACCCGGATCTGGATTGACCCAGGTCAGTGGATCCCCGAGAGGTGGCCTCGCGAGGGCGCGAAGTCAGAGGGTGAAACGGCACCCATACTGCTACCTTCCCTTGTTCTCCCTTTTTGGGGCCTTCTGGGCAGCCCTCGTCGTCACTTCTGGATTCGCTTCGACATTCCGGTCAGAACGCACCCCTTGAGAGGTCTGGGGAGCAGCGGCATCGGTGCCTTGTTTTGGGTTTCCCCAGAAGACGGGCGGTGAAGAAAGGGCCCCTTTAAGGCCCCTTTCTTCACCCCAATTTTCGGTCACCCCCATCACCACACCCCCGAGCGAGTGAGGGCGCGAACATGGCCACACGCCGGGCATCACGGGGGCACGCTGCGTGAAGTTGTGTGATTCAGAGGAAGAGGGTCCGCCTGTCGCAATTGTGTCTGATGGGATTTATTTCCGCGGCATCGAGTCCCGTCATCCTCGCGCCCCCCCCCCCTCGTTCTCTTCGTTCTCGCCGTTGTCTACGGTGCACTCTCGAGGGGACCTGCCTGTCCTGCAAATTCCGGTCCTCTCTCGCACCACACGAGGGTCCGACGCTGACTTTATGCGAATCCGGTGTGGGTTCGACATGGATGCCACGCATTCGACATGCATTCGACGCAGGATTCGACTCGGAGCGTTGGCGCGAGGAGGTCCCCCGAAGATCATTGCAGTATCGCGCCGTCTCTTCGTCGCGGCTGGAAACCCGCTCAAAGACTTGGATTGGCACCATCCTGGCCCGCTCTCCGAGGCGCGCCAGGCCGGGGAGGCAGAGTGAGGGAGACGAGATGGCCCAAGACATGAGCAGGATTCGAGCAGGTGAGGGACTACATAATTACATGACCCAAGAGTTGACGTTTTGATATAGTCTACTAGCAGCAGTACGTTTAGTGTTCGTAGACCTACGGCCAATCCACACCTGTTGTTGTAGATTTGACGAAAAGCAGTTCTGGGGTAAAGAAACTCTGTAGGCGCTCTCCTATTCCAGGGATGGGGTGCGGAAGCAGAAAGCGACGAGGTCGTCATCGTCGTCCCCAGATCTCCGACGACATGGTTCATAAAGCACAATACGACCCCTAACCTTAGCAACAATGAGTTCGTGGCCTACCTCACGGTTCTAGGATACCCCTAAACATGCGGGTGGTTTCGTCTGGCACATCTTCAAAATAGTTTTTGTTGTCCCTAATGTTGTTAGCCCTTCTATCGCGTAGGTCCCTCCCAGAGGATCAGGGGCTTGGTGGGCCCCGGAAACGGCAGGGTCGTTTTTCCACCGTTTCCAAAAAATGTCCCTTGAGAATGGAAACGGCAAAAAAACGGCGACCGGAAACGGAGGAAAACGGCTTCAGGATCGGAACCGGAGCTGGAACCGGTCAAACAACGGCGACGGAACCGGTAAAACAACGGCGTCGGAACCGGCAACGAGACGGCAAAACGGAACCGGTAGAAAAACGGCCCTGTCGTTTCCAGGGCCCATTTAAGTCTGGCACATCTTCAAAACAGATCCTTTGTCCCTAATGCTGTTAGCCCTTCTGTCGCGTAGGTCCCTCCCAGAGGATCAGGGGTACCTTTCTTCATGACTGTACCACGCCGGGCGTTTCTCCTCCACTGCGGCCTTGCGGGGGCTGCGCTGGTTAAGGGCCCCGGGCCACGAGTCGTGGACCTGGGGCGACGCGCGAGGTGCCTCGAGCAGTGCAGAATGCATCGAAGAAGGGAAAACGCCATAAGCCTAAACTTTTGGCGCTCCGCGCGGATTTCTTGGATCCACCCTTGGATTCCTTCATATCCTTGGGACCCCATCCCTCACGACACCATCTTTGAACCACCGACGGCAGCTCCCGCCCGACCCTTTGCGGACTGCCACGTAAGTCGGAAGCTGGGCGAGGGCTGGCAAATCCGTTGTCTTCCCGGAAGAAAATCAGGTCCCCGGAAAAAAACTCAGCGCGCTGAATAGTAAACGGGCTGTTTCCTGGAAGAAGAAAATCATTTCCCGGAGCTTCGTTTTAGCAGCCACGGGTTTGCCAGCCTCCCGCTTCGCTTCTGAGTCAGACCAGCTCGAGTCCCCACGGCTCGAGACTGTGCGCCCCCCAACCCAGCAGCGGGGTAGGATCCTTGCGACGGGAGCAGGCAGAGCACTTTGGCACCCCAATGGGGGGGGCTGGTCGACCAAGGAACCCGTTCGCGCCCGCAATTGAGTCGGTCGTGTCCCTCTACAGGAGGAACATTCAAACATAATCAAAAGATGCTACGGGGACGAATGTTCGATTATGTCTTGACCATGTTTGAAGGATTCTTGCATGTTTTGAGCATGTTCGTCCAAAACCCGTATGCAGGGGGACATGCCTGACCTAAACCAAGGAACCCGTTCGCGCCCACCTTCGAGGCGTCCTGGGGGTCTCTTCGCGGGTGCCTCGGGGGGGCCTCTTGGGGCCTCTGGGGGGTCTCCTGCGAGTCTCTCGGGGGTATCTTCAGCTCGAAGAGGAGAGCACTGCAGAAACGTGAGCCTTCGGAGCTCCGTGCGGCTTCCTCGGGTCGGCGTTGGACCCCTCTGGAGGCGCTGCCAGCGCCGCCCCTGTCGCGCTGTCGCGTGCCAGGGTGGAGGGCCCAGCGCCGATCCAAGAGACACCCCCACGGGCCTGCGAACGGTTCCGCTCTCGTGCTGCGGTCCTCCTCTTGCTGGCGGTTCGCTTGCTCCGGTGAGGCGGGCGCGTCTCCTGCAGTGGAGTCCCATGCCAAGGGACCCCGCTTGCCTCCAGGGCACCCTGGGTTCCGAGGAGTTCAACGCTTTTGCCATACAGCGCGGGACGTCCCACACCACTTGTGGGGCCCGAAGCCCGGATAGCAGGGCGCCCAAAGGGCGTGGAACGGCCTGGCGAAGAACTCTGGAAGGGCCTGGAGAGAGCTTTCGAAGGACCTTCCGGAGAGCTTCCGGGCACGCGTATTGGGAAAAACGCTTAGAGAAAAGGCCTCTCGGGACACGCTGCGAACTCGCAGAGGGCCCGCCGGGAATGCCTGCCAGAAGTCTCCGAACGACCTCTGGGGCGACGACCCTGCGGCTCCGGCTTCTCAACCTGAAACCCTCTCAAGAGTTATCCAGAAGGAAAAGAAACACACAGACACAATTAATCTTCGATTCCCCAGAAAATAGAGGAAAATATGGGAAGTGGGGGGGGAAGACAGAAACCCAGAAAATATGCGAAAATATGGGCAATCTGTTTATTTGTGTGTATTTATTGGTGTGTCCTGGGGCCCCTTCAGCTATCCGGGAAACAATCCACGGACTTCCCAGTGTCTCAGGGCTGGGTTTTTGTGGTGAAAAGGTGTCTTGTGGTCGGGCCTCCTCTGCATTCGGGGGCGGCAAAGGGAGGGGCGATGACTAGGGGGGGGGGATATCCTGGCGAGGCCCATGATATTTCCCCAGGTCTCGTGGCGCCTCCTCTTATCTCCTGACGTCCCCGGCCTCCCCCCTGGGCCGCGCACGTGCCGCCGGCCATGATTTGCGCCCCCCTCCTTCTCGAACGCCCCCCTCTCCTTCTCGAGCGCCCCCCTCCTTCTCGAGCGCCCCCCTCCTCCTTCTCGAGCGCCCCCCTCCTTCTCGAGCGCCCCCCTCCGTCTCGAGCGCCCCCCCCCTCCTGGCCGCCCCCGCTGCCTCCGGCGCGGCGGCGGCGAGGGGGCCGCCCCGGCGCCCGCGGCAGGAGCTGCGACAGGCGGTGGACGCGCACAGGGATCTGACGTGGGATCCGGGGACCGCCGCGGCGCGCGGGCCGCGCGCGGCCGAGGGCGCCCGCGGCCGCCCCCCCGGCGCAGCCGGGCTCCAGTCGGGCATGTCCGATCTGTGGGGTTGCAACACATGTGTCGGGTACAGTAAAACGACGCGAAGATCGGGGCAAAATCGGATCGGGATAACTCGAAATCTCTGAGAATCGGCGGGTTTGGAGGATGTATTGGGCGCCGCGGGCGCTCCAGAGCGTTCCGGAACGCTCTGAGAGCGCTCCGGAACGCTCTGGAGCGATTTATCCCGATCCTAGCCCTGTTTTATATAGCCAGGACCCTGGGTAAGGGGACCCGGTTAGTGGTAGGGCCCTGGGGCCCCTCAATTGGCCAGCTTCTCGCTGGAGCGGAGTTCGCCGCCTCGCCGCTGACGAAAGAGGTGTCGAGATGGGCGGGGCGGGGTGCCGCCAATTCGGGCCCTGGGTTGAGCGCCCTGCGTGGGCACAGGGATGCATTGGAATCGGCAAATGTGAATGTGTGTGTGTGTGTGAGTGTGAGTGAGTGTGTGTGTGTGTGTGTGAGGGGGGGGGCAGCAGACGTCTGCGCCCACTGGGGCCACAGGCGTAGCTCCCGACGGTGGCGCGACGCGTGGCCGGGGGGTGCCGGACTTGGCGGGTGCTGTACCGCACCTGGAGCCCTGCGTGGAGCCCACCACGGGGCACGAAGCACGTGAGGATGTGCCCACATGGGCGGGGGGGCCGTGCGCCTGCGCCCATTGCGACCGCAGGTTGAGCTCCCGAGCTCCCTGCGGGGGCATGAAACTCAGGAGGGGAAATAACACACAGACGCAATTAATCGTCGATACCCAGGAAAATATGGAAAAATATAGGAGGTGGCGGGGGGAAACACAAACCCAGAGAATATGGGAGATATTGGGAATCCGGTTATTTGTGTGTATTTATTTGTGTGTCCTAGGGCCTCTTCAGAAACGTTTGAGGGGTGTGCCGCCATCGGCATGGGGCGGCACGCGCCCTCCTCCCATTGGGGCCGAAGGTGAAGCTCCCCATGAGGTCACGCAGCGTGTCAAGGGGTGTTCGGAAGTGGTCGGGGGCGGCAGGTGGGCACCCTCACTGGAGCTTCTCTCGAGGGCACGGGACTTGTCAAGAGTGAGGAGGACGGGGGGAGAGCCGGGAGGGGGATGCGGGAGAAAGAGGAGAAGTTGGAGCGCGGCGCTGCCAATTCAAAGCCATGACATTACAACACATGACGATTGTGGAACACACAAAATTACCTGATGCAGAAAGCTTGACATTTCCCCTGCGAGTCTGATTCTCTGCAGCAAGCATATCACCACGGCAGGGAGCCAATACACGGAACGATCGTCCTCGTATTCATTGGAATCATCCACTCCATTGGAACCAAACGACTCCGGGAAGGAAATGCACGCTTTCATGTTGGGGGCCCCAGCAGATGATATCAAACAGTCTCCTAGCTCCTGGCATTGATCGTGCGATTGCGTTCATGGTCCCCATTGCCCATTAGGCATGTCGCCATTATTATTAGCTTGACAGAGTTGTGTGATCCAATGGCCCCTGTCATGCCGACACGCTTACCGCACATTCCGCAGTACGGTGGGAGCGATGCGTAAGAACATGCTCGGTTGTCGGAGGCTACTGAATGTTCGTCGTCTGTGTGGCATGTTTTTTTGCAGCCTCCAGACGGGCACCTATCGGTCGTTGAAAGCATGTACTTTGGGATTTCTAGATTCCAATACGTCAAGCGCCTTCATACTTCAATGATCGAGTGGCTTCACCGTTTCCGTTCTTTTCAGGGGGCGCGCGGAAGCCCAATCTACGTTCACCGTTTTCCTCTTTCATGTTCCTACCTGCTTCTTCCGACCGATGGGTATTCTCGATCGTTCTTGATGTTGACAGCTTTGTTGGTTCGTCCTGGTAAGGCTTGGTTTGCAGGCACTGCCATATTCCGTGTTCACCATGGTTTCTTCGATAGGCCAGGCAGGTCAGGTTTGGCGACTCCTCGGGAGGGACCTTCGGAAACCTCATGTTTGTGGTTCTTCTTGCCGGCGGAGGGGCTCCTGTTCTCGCAGCATGGTTTGTTCGCGGCTGCCCACATGCCAAGCAAGGCATGCCATTACCGGGCGCCGCGCGGGGCGTCCCGGGACGGTCTTCGGGGCTGTCCTGGGAGATAGGAGTCTTTGGGTCGTGCGGCATCTTGGGGGCGCCGATGAGGATGATGATTTTGATGACGACGACGACGATGCTGATTACGATGTTGATGATGATTTTGATGATGATGTTGGCGATGATCATCATGATGCTGTTGATGTCCTAGTCTTGCCGATGTAGGTGAATGAGAAGGAGAGTGAGGATTAGGATGACGATTCGGATGATGAGGATGAGGATGGGGATGAGGATGAGGATGATCAGGACGATGAGGATGATATGATGATGATGATGATGATGATGATGATGATGATGATGATGATGATGATGATGACGATGACGATGACGATGACGATGACGATGACGATGACGATCATGATGATGATGATGGTGGTGGTGATGGTGATGGCGATGGCTTTGGTGATGCTGCTAGTGATGATGCTGACTGTGATGCTGCTGCTGGTGCTGCTGATGATGATGATGATGATGATGGTCATGATCATGATCATGATCATGATCATGATCATGATGATCAGGATGAACAGGATGAGGATGAGGATGACGATATTGATGTTGATGATAGTGATGATGTTGGTGATGATGGTGATAGCGACTTTGATGATGGTCTTTATGAACATGGTGACGTTCGGATTGATATCCTAGTAGGTGAGATTTAGCGTCCGCGCTGGTGCATCCGTGGCTGAGAACGGGCCTAATCAGGCTTAGTCCCGCTGCATCCCATCCATTCCGGCTTAGTCGAGCTCCATCTTGCGTTTCCTTTGGCCTCATCCTGTCTCATTGCTTATATTCCGCCCAATCGCCCTTAATAATCATTCTTAGGAAGACCTCCCATGATCCTCGCAGGCCTAGAGATTGACACCAACACCAATATCGGCGGTGTGCCTCCGCCCGGGGAAGAAGATCCCGATCTCGGTGATGGTGGTAATATTCTGGCTTCCAAGGTGGCCGAACTATTACCACCAACACCGAAAATCTAGGATCATCTTCCCCCTGTGGAGGCAACGCCCTGTGTTGGTGTTGGTGCCCATTTCCAGGCCTCCGAGATCCGCCTCCGATAGGACGAGGCTAGGGCGGAGGCAAATCCGTTGCAGAGCGTTCCGGAACGCTCTCAGAGCGTTCCAGAACGCAATGAGGAGGCCGCGGCCCCCGATGCATCCTCCAGAGTCGCCGGGATTCCACGATTCTCATTGTGTCTTCTGCGGGCAATACTTCTGTCCATGTCCACTGCGATATGGAGTTTCGGGTTCCCTTCCCCAGAAACCAGAGGCGCGCTGGAGATGGATAAATTTGCCCCCTAGAGGCTCGATTTTTATCCATATCCAGTGCGCCTCGGCCTTGTGACGCTCCTTCCCAAAAAATCCAAGACGCACTGGATATGGATACGAACCTTGCCCGCATCTTCACCCGAATTTATCCTCGTCCTGGCTTCCTCTTACACGAATTAACGTTGACGTAATCGTCGTCGTTCTCGCCGTCATCGTCGTCGCCGTCGTCGTCGTCGTCGTCGCCGCCGTCGTCGACATGTCCATCACGGGTCCCTCGCGAGCGGCCGGCCGCGGCAGGATGGAGTCCCTCGGCGGCAGGACCGGGGTGATAACTGAGACGGAGGACGCTGGCGGATTCTCGCAGGCGCTGGGGATGAGGACGTGGACGAGGAGAGGACGGAGAGAGCGAGGAGGAGGAGTGCAAGGATGACGTGGATTTGGAGAGGAGGGAGAGAGGGAGGGACGAGGAGGGAGAAAGTGGAGGAGGAGGAAGAGGAGGGAGACGAGGAGGAGGAGCAGGAGGAGGAGGAGGAGGATCAGGAGGAGGAGGAGCATGAGGAGGAAGAGGAGGAGGAGGAGGAGGAGGAAAAATAGGAGGAGTAGTTTGAGGAGGAGAAGGAGGAGGAGGAGGAGGAGGAGGAGGAGGAGGAGGAGGGGGGGGAGGGAGGGAGGGAGGGGGGGGGAGGAAGGGAGGGAGGGAGGGAGGGAGGGAGGGGGAGGAGGAACAATAGGAGGAGTTTGAGGACGAGGAGGAGAGGAAGGAGACAGGAGGAGGAGTGTGGAAAGGGGTGGGACCGCAAGCTAGATGCGCTCTCACCATCTCTAACACCCTACCCCTCTGACCCATTCCTCCCCATTGCACTGGTTTGTCTCCATCCGTGGACGCGCGCCATAGCAGACCTGTAACTCCAAAGAGGACCCCCCGTCGTATCATGCGCAATCGGGCAATGGGAACTGCGTGCGTAGGAGGTGGCGGAGGAGGAGGAGGAGGAGGTGGCAGATGAGCGGGAGGAAAGGGAGGATAATGAAGAAGGAGGGAAACGACGACGGACAGCAGCGGGGACTGCAGCGGAAGGGGGGAGGAGCAGGTGGACCAGCGGATGGCGGAGGACAGACGGGGGGGCGACAAGGAGGAGGAAGCATTTGCTTTCCAGAGAAGTGGCCCGCGATGGGGCGCGAGGCCCATTCTGAATGACGGGAGCAAAGCGCCGATCGCCGCTCCCCGGCCATCTTCGGGTGAGAAGGGAGAGTAGTACCTTAGTACCTATATTGGGCAGTTGTGGAGAAGAGACAAGGACGCCCTTGTTCGCTGTTGCTGGTTTTACGGTGTGCGTGCCCCTGTAGGGCGAGGGAGGCGGAGGGACAGGAGGGTTTTTTGAGGAGGAGGAGGGGAGGAAGGAAGGAAGAGGAGGAAGAGGCGGCAGAACGTGCTTTTGTACAAGTATATCGAGGGGGCGAATCACTACATAGGTATATACATGTATATGTGTAGGTTATCTGGCGTGGGCCCCACATGTTGGGTTTCTCGCATTGCAAGTATCTTTGGTATGTGGGGCAACCTATGTGGTGCAGCCACTGTGGTTCTCTCTCTGTGTATATATATATATATATACATATGTACATCAACAGATGCGGTACAACCTGTGTGTTGCATGTTTGTTAGACAATCTATAGTGCGCCATACGCGGTGCAATCCAGGTGGTGCAGTATACGAGGTGCGACTTATGCTGTACAACCCATGTTTAGCTCATGTCGTGCGACTTAGGACACTTGTGCCATCTATGCAGCGTTCTTATTTTTACACCGATGGACTTGAAGTTTTCAGCTCCACTCTTCGCGCAATCCTCCCATCCACTCACCCGTAACTTGGTTTGCAAACCCCATGCGACGGCGATTGCGATGACTGTTTGGCGCAGGCTGGCACGTTGCTGCCCTCATGCTACTAGATCGCCTAACTGTCGTCACTTTTTGGTTCTTGAGGCCTGAATCTGGTCGGCACCTCGATCGGTGGCGTCGTCTGTGAGTGAATGGCGAGGAAGTCTCGAGCGGGAGCTCCCATGGGGCCCGCACTTCACGTTGGTAGTCCGATGCGGCCGTCCTCAAATTTGTAATTGCTTTAACTTTTGGGCCTTTGATGTCTGAGTATTAAGGGAGTCATGAGCGTGGGCCTCGTGCGCGAGCGAATTTTTTCACCCAGAACACGAGCAGCAATTCGAGGAGCGCGCGCGGGGCCAGCTCTTGCGCTCCCGCCTCCTACCGCAGGGAATCTGGATTTGGGTGCGCGGCTTCAACACTATCCAGACTTACCAGGAGGTCGCCACGCTGCTGCAACAGGGCGCCGAAGGCGCTGACGACGAAGGCGAGGCCGAGGCGCGGGCGTGGAGCTTGCTCATGCGCAGGCCCAGCGAGCAGGAGCTCACGCGACAGAGCTCGGGGCCGCACGTCGTGCGCTTGGGTTCACTCTGACGCGCGCGTCATGCCTGGCCCCCTGACCTCCAGGCTGTCGCATGGTCAGACGTAGCGCAAGGGCGACGCCGCCCATTGCGTTAGGGGCGAGGGCGCTGGCCGCGCGGGCGTGTCTGACGAGCAGCGGTGGCTGCGCCTCCACGTCATGTTCTCCCGCGCCCCGCGCGTGCGGGACACGCCGATGTTTCGGCCCCCCTCGCGCGAGGCGTGGGGCGCAAGTCGCCGGCGCCCTTGCAGAACGCGCTGACGAAATACGGCGAGAGAGCGGCGGCGGCGCGCGGCTAGACCCCTGCGGACGCGTCCCAACGGCTTGGTCTCATGCGCCACGAGCTGCGGGGTTGCCCCGGCGGCCCGGTCCACGGGGCTGCCCCGACGGCCCCCGACGGCTTCGCGCCTTGGCCGGCGGAAGACGCGCCTCTTCAGGCCGAAGCGGCGACGTCGCCATGGAAAGTCGGCGCGCGCTCCCTGGCATTGGGAACTCGGCACGCGCGGCCTTGCAATCGAAGAAATGCCGGAGGTGGCAAGGGGGGCGTAAAGGCAGGAGGGAGGGCGGGTCAGCGAAGGGGGCGGGAGGGAGATACGGACAGCGAGAAAGGGGAGGAAAATGGGGAGGAGGAGGCGGAGGAGGAAGAGGAGGAGGAGGAGGAGGAGGAGGAGGAGGAAGGAGGGAAGGAGGGAAGGAGGAGGAGGAGGACGAGGAGGACGAGGAGGAGGGAAGGAGGAGGAGGAGGAGGAGGAGGGAGGAGGAGGAGGAGGAGGAGGAGGAGGAGGAGGAGGAGGAGAGAGGAGGAGGAGGAGGAGGAGGAGGGGAGGGGGAAAAGGGGAACTCCCGGGCTACCCTGCGCTGCCGGCTTCTACACGAAGCCCTCCTGAGCTCTTAGAGAGCGATGCGGGAACCTCGCCCCCCCCGCGGCGCCCCGCCGAGCCGCCGCGGGAGCGCGGGGGGCGCGGCCGCGCGGCGGCACCTCCGGGGGTGCGGTTCTCCCGCGCCCCCGTCCTGCGCGCCGCCGCCTGCCCGTCCAGGCCAGGCACACCTGGGGGAGCTGTGGTCCTTCCCCCCTCTGGTGCGGGCAGTACTTATGTCCATATCCAGAGCGTCGTGGACTTTTCGGGAAGAGGTGCCGCAACGCCGAGGCGCGCTTGATAAGGATAAAATCAAGCCTCTCGGGGCCATATTTTTATCCATATCCAGTGCGTCCACGGTTTCTGGGGAAGAGAGCCCAAGAATCCAAGACGCACTGGATGTGGACATAACCATTGCCCGCATCTGGGGACCCCTCGATTTCGACACCCCTCGTCGAGAGATCGTCGGCGCGAGGGGTTCCCCCAGGGGGGGGGGTAAGGGCCACAGCCTCCCCCAGTTGCGGCCGGTCGGCCTTCGTCGCTCGTGCGAACTCGTTGTTGTTTCTCCAGGAGGAGGAGGAGGAGGAGGAGGAGGAGGAGGAGGAGGAGGAGGAGGAGGAGGAGGAGGAGAGGGAGGAGGAGAGGGAGGAGGAGGAGGAGGAGGAGGAGGAGGAGGGGAGGAGAGGGAGGAGGAGGAGGAGGAGGAGGAGGAGGAGGAGGAGGAGGAGAGGGACCGCGACCGCCGCCTGGAGGGTCAGTTTTCGGAGTTTCGGCAGGCGGCGGATGTGGACACCTGCGGGCCCCCAGGGGCCGAGCTATGTCCATATCCGCCGCCTGCCAGGGCAACAGGACGTCTTATCCCAGGCGGCGGATATGGATAAATCCCCGCCTCGCAGCATCGCTCGGACATGTGCACGTTTTCCTCGGCGGGGGCCATCGAGGAGCATCATGGATCATCCTGCGAAGAGCTACGCGCACGAAGCCGACACGTGCACGGGAAAAGGAACGTCCGAGCGATGGCGAGCCTCCCCCTCTTCGGAGGCTACGAAAGGGGCGACTAGCCTAGGGGGAGCAGTACACGTATCCAGTGACGCTGATGGTCCACGTCTTCAGCGAGGCTCCCCGCCGAAGGCGTGTAATGTCCGCCCATGGGGGCGTCGCCCCTTCCGTCGCCTCCGACCTCGGTCCCTTCCGCTTGCCCGTCCGCCTGCTTCGTCCCGGTGGTCCTGGCCTCCCGCCTCCCCGTCCGCGCGTTCGCCATCGTCAGCTGATTTTTCGTTCCCTTTATCTATCTCCGTCGCCGCGCATCGACGAGTACTCTTTCAGGATGTGGGGAGGGCAAGGCATGGATTGATGGTGGGAAAGGATGACTGGGGGGATGGGAAGGAGGAGGAGGAGGAGGAGGAGGAGGAGGAGGAGGAGGAACGCACGTGGCAGCGCTGTTGTTCAATCCTCGGCCGCCGCAGGCCGCAATGAGGAGCGGAGAAAGGAGCGCAGAGGAACCTCCGGCGCCGCAATTCCCTCGCGACGTGGGCCCACGAGTTCAGAGCCCACGACCCAGGTCCCGGGGCCTTGGCATCGCTCGGACGTGTGCATTTTTCCTTCGGCGAGGACCATCGAGGAGCAGCCTTGATCATTTGGCGAAAAAACCACGCACGAAACCGAAAAAAACACAGGGAATTGACGTCCGAGCGATGGCCAGGGGCCCGGTGAGGGTCTCGGGAGTCGGGGGCGGCAAAGAGGGGGGTGATGATTCGGGGGGCGTGGATCTCATGGCGGGGGCCACGATGTCTTCCCAGATGTCACGGCGCATCTTCTCATTTCATTACGTCCCTGGGGCCCCTCCCTGGGCCGCGCACATGCCGCAAGCCATGATTTGCGCCCCCCCGTCTTGGACGCCCCCCTCTTGGCCGCCCCCGAGGGAGGCCGAAACTTGGCAAACATTGTCCGTCACGGTTTGTCCACGACGAGTGGAGGTGGTGGTACAGCCAAGGCGCTGAAGGAAGGACCGCCTGGAACTCTGGAGGGGCCCTGGTGTTCGGGCCGTCCCTTCGGCTTCGGTCCTGGCACCGCGTGGAACCCCCTCACGGCCGATGCTCTCCGTGGCCAGAGCAGCCCACTCGTTCCTTCTCTCCGGCGCTCCCGACGGCAGCATGGCGGCTGCAGGGGCGCAGCCCCGTGGGCAGGTGAAGTTTGCGGAGTCCGAGGGCGGATTCTCGCAGTGGCAGCTGCCCAACAGCGCGCTGACGGAGGTCGCCCCCCGCGCCGCCCGCCGAGCCCCCGGCGGCTGGGGGAGGGCCCAGCTGCTGCTCCGCTCTCGGCCTCCTCCGCCGCCTGCTCCTCCTCCTCCTCCTCCTCCTCCTCCTCCTCCTCCTCCTCCTCCTCCTCCTCCTCCGTCGCCTGCTCCTCGCGCACGCCGGCGGCTGCCAGCGCGGCCGCCCACGGTTTGATGCCCCGTCGAGCCGAGCCGTGGGCGGCGGCAGTGGCAGCAGCTTGTCCTGCATTTGGACCGCGCCTTTGATCGCCGTGGGCATTTCCTCGTGCTCCAGCAGCTCGCCCTTCCTGTTGCGTTCCCCCCTTTCGCTCTCCTCGTCTCCCTTGTGAAGGGCAGAACCTGGAGGAAATCCAGTCCAAATCCGGTCCAATCGTTCAACAACTTGTTTTTGAATTCAAAACGCCAGTTTTGAGTTCAAAGACCAGTGTAGCAATAATTCAAAGCCATGTTTTCTAACCACCAAAACCAGTGTTCCAAATCAGGCCCACATCGGACAGCGCCAGGGGCCGCGCAGGCTCCGAACCCCTTTCGAATGGGCGCGCAATGCGGAGCACCTCCCCATAGTTCCCATCAGGGCTCCCACTACAGTGGAAACCCATTCTCAAGAAGCACCCTGCTTGCCTCCAGGGTGCCCTGGGTTTCTTGGGTGTCGATAGTCTCGCTATGGAGAGCGCGACGTTCCCACACCAAAAAACGATGGACGTCCTAGGGTCTCAGGGTTGGGTTTCTGGTGGAAGGTTTCCTGGTGTCGAACTCCTACTGTACGGTGCGAGTTCCCTGTGGAGGTCTGCGGCATCGAACCAGGATTAAGTCGGGCCTTCCCTTTGCAGGAGGAATCTCCAAAAACAGTCTTAAGATAATACGTGGACGATTTGTCTTGCATTTTCACCAGTAGATTTGTTTTGAGTATTTTGTACTTTCCATCCCAAATCCGCCTGTAGGGGGACATGCCCGACCTAAAACCAGGGGCCGCCTGGGGGCGTCTTTGGGTCTCTCTTGGGCCGTCGTCGGGGGCTCTTGCCCCGCCGTCCGCGAGGCGCACCGAAGTTGGCCTCCCCCTTGGGGGGGCACTCGGCCTCACCGCCAGCCCTCCGGCGCGGCGCATGGGGGGGCAGCTCGAGAAGATGCAGTGCCAGCGCCATCGCAGGGGCGGGGGAGAAGGGGAGGGACCTCATTTTTTGTTCGGTTGGGCAAGCGCTTGCTTGCGTGAGCCGTCGCGTCTGCCTCCTCCTCCTCCGCCTCCGCCTCCTCCCCCTCCTCCTCCCCCTCCTCCTCCCTCCTCCTCCTCCTCCTCCTCCTCCTCCTCCTCCTCCTCCTCCTCCTCCTCCTCCTCCTCCTCCTCCCCCTCCTGCTCCTCCTCCTCCTCCTCCTCCTCTTCTGTTGTTTTCGAGGTGACCTCGCGTCAGGGGGCGCACTTTAGCATCCATGCCCTAGCATCCTCCTCTGTTGTCTGACGTTGCGCTAACTTGAATCCTCGCATTGTGGCGTTCTTCTCCTCCTCCTCCTCCCCCTCCTCCTCCTCCGCCTCCTCCTCCTCCTCCTCCTCCTCCTTCTCCTCCTCCTCCTCCTCCTCCTCCTCCTCCTCCTCTCCCTCGTCATTTGGACGAGCAGGCCGCGAGAGGGCCTGCAGGGAGGGAGGGCGAGGGAGAGGAGTCGGGGGGGTGGGGCAGCGGCGGCGGCGGCAGCGCCAGCAGTAGGCCCCCGGCTCGGCGAGGCGCTCCCGGGGCCCAAGACAGACCCAGAGAGGGTCTCGGAGCCTCACCCCGCGAAGTGACCTCCAAGACGTTCGCGGGGCTCGTCTTGATTCCCCCGGTTCGATTCGATTCGATGTCGACGGATGCCGGTTCCGGTTCGATTCGACTTGGGATTCCGATGTGGGTTCCGATGTTTCACTAGGCGCGTACAAGCCTGCCGATTTTCGCCTATCCGATTCATGTCGATCGCCGATCCGACTTGTCGATTCGATTTTGGGCTCTCCTGCCTTCGGACACAGGTATAAGATCGAGGTCGATTGCGGAGGGTACCCTCAGGATGTTTTTGTTCGTGCTTGTTGGATGTTCTTGTGCATTCTGGGGAGGGTATCCTGGGATGCTCTGTGTCTCTCGGCCCGCGGAGGGCCCGCGGAAGGATACGTGTCTGTCCCAGGTCCAGCCGTAGTGAAGCCCACCATAATCCGAAGGTGCCCCGACGAAGTCCCCAGAAGGCCGTCCAACGCCCCCAGGAGGCTTGAAACGGCTTCCATCTGGCCGCCCTTGAGACCTCAAACAGGCCCAGAAGAAGCCCGCAACAGACGCGGAGGAATAGGATAACAAATCAGCAACGACTACACGCAAGTAGCACAGCGAGAAGCGGCCAGCAACGCGCGCAAAATCAGAATTCGCATATCCCCTCTGCTGGATACCGGCGGAGTGGCGGATGCCGTCGGAATGTCGAAGAAACATGTCTACGAGCGCGAGCGCAAACTCCTGGGCAGATGCTTCCGCCCGCCCGTGGGGGTGGGGGTGGGGGGGGCGGCAGCTGGCACGGCATTCTGCCCCAACCGTGAGTTTCTCCCAGCGCCCCCTCCTGGCCTTGACGTGAGGCCCCTCCTCCTGCCCCCCTCCTCGGTGAATTGAAGCTGTGCGCGGCCCGCGTAGCCTCGACCGGAAGAGGTGCGCCCTCGCTTGGCATCGCTCGGACGTGTGCATCTTTCTTTCGGCGAGGACCATCGAGGAGCGTCCTCGATCATTTGGCGAAAAAGCCACGCACGAAATCGAGAACAGCACAGGGAGTGGACGTCCTAGCGATGGCCAGCTCGACCCGCGGATCAAAACAGTGAGTTCCTCCCAGCGCGGAGAGGTGCTGGCCTCCAGTTTGCCATCGCGCGGCTGGGTCCCTGCGCGCGCTGCCCTCGCCGTGCTGTGTGCCCCGCCCGCGAGCCGAGGGGGCCGGCTCGACTGTCTCGTCTGCAGCGCGGGCTCAGCTGTCGGGGGCGGCAGAGGGGGGGGAGGACTGGGGGGGGGGATATCATGGCGTGGGCCACGATATTTCCCCAGATTTCATGGCGCCTCTCCTTATTTCATTACGTCGGGGGCGGCAGTGCGGGCTCAGCTGTCGGGGGCGGCAGAGAGGGGGGTGATGACTAGGGGGGGGGGGGCTGGCATCGCTCGGACGTGTGCATTTTTTTTCGGCGGGAAGCATGGAGGACGATCCTGAGCCATCGAGCAAGAAAAAAAAAGCACGCACGAAACCGAACAATGCACGGGAAATGGACGTCCGAGCGATGGCGAGGGGGTGGATATCATGGCGTGGGCCACGGTATTTCCCCAGATTTCATGGCGCCTCTTCTCAGTTCACTACGTCCCTGGCCCCCCCGCTGGGCCGCGCACATGCCGCCGGTCACGATTTGCACCCCCCCCTCGTGGCCACTCCCGAATCTTGTTCGGGTGCGACACCTTCATCCCGATGTTCGGGATGTGCGTCCTGGCTCGATCCTGAGGCAGGTTGGCGGGGCAAGCCGCCATGTTGCCACATCGTCTCGGATGCTAGACATCGGCAGAAGGTCTCGAGAAGGCGCGCTTCCCCTCGAAGTGGTAGTTAAGAAGTGCGGTCGAACAAGACAATGGAGCACAGCACTGCAGTTGCTTCGCGAAAGAATTCAGTCAGGTGTGCAACTCCTCCCCAGCCACTACACTGCGACTGTCAGTGCATGCGCACAAGGCGGGCAGTGGCAACACGCACTGTCGCTGCTCAGCGAGATGCGGGGGGCAAAGCTGGAGCCCAACGTGATCTCTACATTACGATTCCGCGATCAGTGCACGCGAAAGGGGCCTCTGGTAGCAGTGAACCGCCCCCCCCAGCCGCTCCAGCCCGGCCCTCGGAGCCGCCAAGGTGGCTTCCAAGGGCGGCCCTGGACGCTCCATGGCGGCCCTCTGAGACGGCGCTCTAGAGGCCCCAAGACGCCCCCAAGGGGCCCCGAGAAGCCCAAATCGGGCCCCCAGGGGCCCCCACGACGCCCCAAGACATCGTCCAAACCGCCTCCCAAGAGGTTTCTGAGAGGCCTTCCAAGAGATCCTCGCAGGCTCCCAGGATCCAGGAGGCCTCTGACCTGCAGCTCAGGCGCGGTGGCGGGATGGCCGCCAAGCGTGGTCCAAGCGCGCTCTGAGACGGCGCAAGATAACCTGGACGTCAAGTCCGTATAATTCGGCCCCGCCTGCCCTAGCGCGTTCCCAGGCCCTCCCGGGGCGCTCCCAGACGTCTCAAGAGGGCGCCATTCGAGTTCCGAGTCGTCCCAAGAGAGGCGCTAGACCAGCCAAGAGGGCCCCAAGAAGGCCGATGAGAGCTCCAACAAAGCTCAAGATCGCCACATGGGGGCCCATGAAGGCCCAACGGGCCCCAGACATACCCCCAGATGCGTCCCAGAGGACCTTTAAAAGCGCCTCCAGTAATTAGCAATAACAGATGCTTATCGAGCGATTTGGACATGCTCGTTTCTTCGGGACTCGGGACTCCCGCGGCGGCCTAAGAAGCGCCCGGCATCGTCCCAGTACAGCCCAATAGGCCCCCGAGGGGGGGCCAAGACGGCCCAACAGGGCTCGAAGACGGCCCAACAGGTCTTCAAGACGGGTCGAGTGGCTGCTAAGATGGCCCCGAAGACGTGCCCGAAGGGGCCCAGGAACGCACCGAGAGGGCCCCACGACCGCGCTCCCGTATCCTCCGTCTCCCGGTTCTTTCCTGCTCTCTCCTCTTTCCTCTCTCTTCCCCTCCTAATACCTTTTTTGGTGTGTGTGTGTGTCCTGTCGCCGGTACCCAGGTGGAATGTCGCCCGATATTAGCACGAGGGCGCGATCGGTCTTCATTCTTCTGGCCAGATGGCCCCAGCGTGGCCCCTCGAACGTCCCCGGACTCAGCCAAAACAGTCTATGGCGCCGAGCTGGCTCCAAGAGGCCTTCTCTGGGGTTTCTTTTTTGGGCTCTCATGGGCCATGGTAGCCGAAGA